AGAGTGGCAAGTCGACATGTTGTAACCTATAATCACGGAGCCCATCGCAGTATTGAATGGACTTGACAAGGTCCGGTGACGTAGTTAGTGCAGGGGTGGAACTCACGAAATGTCCTTGGGAACAGCCACGGGAGCGACTGAAACAGCTGTTTAGGAGCAGGTTGGGAGCAGCTAAAACTATGTTCTGGAGCAGGCTAGGAGCAGCTCAGATCAGTTTTCATTGCACTTCAGCTTGTGTCTTAGACACGCACGGGAGCAATTTCAATCGCGCTTAGCAGCACAGATGAACATGAGTGGTTAGGGACCTAGGTAGATGGGATAACAGTGTAAAAGGTGTGAAAACTTGAAACTTTGTGAGCCTCTATACTTTCCAGACTCGTACGTAACGTGTTACAAGATTACTTGTAATTGATTATTTTTACTGCAATTTTGTGACGCTTCGATTACTTCCTTTAAGGGGTAATGATCTTTTTAATTGAATTAATTTTTTGCTGTAATCGATTACAAAATATACCCCCCATTACAATCTTCCTCATTTCTTTTTTTTTTTTTTTGGGGGGGGGGGGGGGGGAGGGAGTTGGAGTTATTCAGCTCCGGGCAACGGGCTTTTTTTTTTTTTCGAAATTATTAAGCACGAGGCTGTGAGGATTAGTAGGCCACTTTACTATGCTTCTTTTTCGTGGGTACATTTTTATTTCTACACCGGAGACTACTTATGGGTATGAAAAATGACTTTATCTAGCCTCTTGTGAGGGATTAGGTGTGTGCCATCAGTCACTCAGCTTTAAGCGCGAAACACACGTACAACCAAACCGTCCGATCCGACGTGCGGACTGCCGGAATGACCTTGGGGGGCGAGGGGGTTCCGCAGCATCGGAGAGCGTTGAAAACCCTTGCCTCCGACCGTCGTATTGCGCGGTCAGACGTCGGATCGGACGGTTTGGTTGTACGTGTGTTTCGCGCTTTAAGCAAAAACAGTCGAGGCTTTCTTTTTTTTTTTCTTTAACAACTGAGCACGAGATTCCACGGATTATGCTATCATAAAAAAAGTTTGAATGAAAAGTAACGTGGGAAGTAATTGCTTACTTTAGAGTAATTTTTCGATTACTTCTTTGAGGCTGTAATTGTAATTGTAGTCGGGTACTTTATACAGCAAAGTGATTGTAACTGTCATCGGTTACTTTTTCAGTGACGGGTACAAGTCTGATTATTTTCTTAGTGGCTTTCAGCTGCTCAAAATGCAAACCAGCTCTGCTTATCACACAACCCACACGTGCTCGACATAGTACTTATATGTGCGAACCACGTGACGTGCGTAAGCAACGGACGCGGAGTTGCGCGGAGGAACAGGGCACCAAATTGGAGTTTATCCTATTGTGCAACTGAATATCGAAGCAGCAGACTACGATTAACGAAGTCATCGTATTCGAAGTGACAAGCAGGTGCAAGGTTAAAGTACACCAAACAGATCTACCGATCGCGTGAAAGCTGCTGGCCGGCAAGGTTTCGGATCGGATCACGTTTCAGTTCTATCAAATCACGATTTATCTTGCGGGAACGCGGTTCCAACTTCTAACGATAAAGTACTAAAAGAAATCTTTTGCTAGTTTGTTTTCAACTGGCCGACGTACTTTTTCTGTACTCAAAAGGTTTGCTGCGGGCAAGTCGTACAGACGCAGAAATATCCTTGGGGCGTCTTTCAATTTGAAACCGGAGGCCAAAATGCTTTCTCTGTCTTAGAAACGGGCAAACTTAACGATGATCGGTCTAGTTTTCTCGGGCTGGAATTTCTTTAGCTGGTGCGATTTCTCCAGATTAGAGGGGCCAAGCTGTACACCTAACTTATGCGCACAGAACTCGACAACTTCTTCTGATTGCCCCTATGCTTCAGTGCCAGTATCCAAGAAGCCAAACTGCTGCATTTGTGTATTTCGCCACCAGGGGGCCAGCGTCTTCCGGTGGACTTCCCGCGCACACCGCGCCATTCCTTTTCTTCTTGTTCCATGCAACCGCCATGAGGTCTCAACATGTAACCTAACCTGTTAATAAACAATATGTGACTACGTGACAAGAACATTTTTTCCTCATCGACGCAACACAAACAAGAACAGATTAGACCTCCTAAGCCTATTTTCATTGTCATCATACTGTTTTTGAATATGTAGTGGTGGAACTGACAAGAGGTGATTTGGAGCAGCTCTTGTAGCAGGGAACAACACATTTTGGAGCTGATTCCCACTTTTGGAGCAAACAATGTGGAGCTTTCACCTCAAAAAGTTTTATACCATTTCTTTAGGAGGTAGCCTGTGGGAAAAACTGTAGTTGTTGGTGGTGGAAAACTATTTAAGGCACCATACCTACAGGGACCTGGCCACTACAGATATTTATTTATTTATTGAACAATCATACGCCAGTAACTCTCCAGATGTCTCAATTAACCTGTTAGGAGTACCGATGGCGTCTTCGGTTTGTGTTTGATGCAAAAAATATGTTTGGCTACTTTGTAGGGTTTGTATCACGGTGAGGTAATTGCCACAAGTTCGACAACAAACGGACACTTTTGTGTTGAATGTCACGCTGCCCTCGCTCGTATTCAATCTACTACTGTTCATAGAGCAGCTAAGCAAAGCACATAGTTACTTTAACTGATAACAATGAGTAGCGCTATCTATTCATTGCGATCGATGTGAGCACCGTTTGCACAAAGAACAACAACTCTTCGTTAGGCACGTGCAAATAATGGGTGTTAGGTTCGAAGCGAATTCGAATTAAATAGAGGTTCTGGCCGAATATTCTTTAATTGAATATTGAATAGTTGCTGCGTCTTTCTCCACGCTTTTCACTACTAGTACACCATGCTTAAACAAATATTCGGCTGTACTCACAAAGCTTGTTCCCAAGCTTCTAATTGCCCGCTTATGAGCTCTGTTAAATTTAATCTAGCTACATTTATAGACTGTGGCCTCAGGCAGTCCAATACCTACATTGGGGTGGCAAGTAAATGACAGATTTGAATTAAAATGAAACCTATAAGAGAGCCCAGCCACACCTAATTGAGGGGATTTGTAAATATTCTTGCCGTATACAAATATATGTTCTTCATACCTGAATTAAAACAAAACAAGGATAAATAATGAACACAGGTTGCTAAGACATTGCTGCCTAACATATACACTTGCATAACAACCACAGTTAGATTTTGAAGATTTTACTGTGACGTAAATATCAACAATCACTATTTTTTTTCTTTTTATAACACCAGGCGCACGCATGCGCTATACCACTTTTAAGGTGTGTTTTTCGCCTCCGTGTGCGGCTGAGCTGCGGCAAAGCGAGCCGGAAGATCGTGGTGTCAGCTCCGCAGGTATTGCTTCTCCGCAGTGCATCAATTCTTGAGGAGAAGTGCACTCAAGGAGTTAACCCACCCCAATAATTAAAATATTCGCTCAGCCCTACTCTTTGCACATAGTACTGGCACATGGCATTCTTGGCAACGCAAAGAATGCCATGTGCCAGCCACTTTCAGTCTCCTTTTCAAGAACAGCCTTTGGAACAGCATGTAGCAGGTTATTCATTCTGGCACAGTTTGGTGCAAATGGAGCGGCAGTTCCACCACTGAAAATGCATTCATGCATTTGCTAACACGTACCCAGCCGAAATGTTTATCAGCGCATAGTAACTTCCTGTCACCGGTAGGTCAAGTTGGTAACTATTCCAAACATCTGGAATCAGTTGACGGACATTTTCACCCCAGGGTTCTATCGAATCAATAAGGGCTGTCAACATTACATAGTTAATTTAAGCACTGAAAGTATTGCATTTTCTTTTTAGGGGGGGATGGGGGGGGGGGGGGGGTTTGAGGACACATGCGAAGTAAAAAAACATTTTTTTGTAAACAGACCAGATGGAAAAAGAATGTTATAAAATAAAATTAGAACGAAGAAAAAAAAATTTTAGAGCTATATTGACGGCACAAAATGATTTTGTAGTTGCGCCCGTGGGAGCCGCCGCAAATCATGTGATAGACCTGTGCACCGTCTCAAAGTCGACTCACAGTCACGCCGCCGCTGCACGCTGAGCGTGGTGCGCCGCCGTCAACTCATTTCTCCACACCGCCACCGCCGCGCAAGTTTGTCTACCCCGCAGCGCTGCCGCCGTCATCTGACCGGCACACAGGTCTATCACGTCTGCTTCCGCTTTTTCAGGAGCTTTCTTTGGGTTCGAAAAGTTACCGATTAATCTTTGTGTTTTGTTGCACTTGAAATAAAGATGAATAACTAACTTTTAGAGACCATAGGAAGCTTCCGATAGAGCGGAAGCACCACGTGACAAATAGCGACCAGTCACGTGACGACTAGCAGCCACTTTTCCGCAGCGCCCGCCGGCGCCAACTACAAATTCGTATACGCCGTGAATATAGCTCTTAAAATTTTTATTTTCCTTGTGAATTTGTTTTATGACTTCCTTTTCCCAACCAGGCTGTTTAAAAAAACTTTATTAGTCCTTTGCATGTGTCCTTTAAGAAGTGTTCGAGCTTCCTTAGGCTTCCTTGCTGGAAATCCTTTGTATTCCTGTTACTAACAAGTGCACCAAGGAGACACTCCGGCCATTATTGAACACTTTGAATAAACAAATATGAATAGTTGGAAGATGTTACAAAGCAGTCTACATTGATAAAAATTCCTTCTTTCTGCATGTCAAGTTCGCTTGTGGCGTAATCTAAGATTACTACGACATACCAGTTAAGGAAAGTTGGTCTTCAAATGCGGACACCACACGCGAGCCACAGCGAGCTACAATGGGGAGCAGTGCCACGCTTGAGAAGCCCATCGAGGCACAGATGTTGTTTGGTCTAGCCACAGTTTACAAAATGGCCGCTGCAGCAAGAACAGCGGGACTGCGACTGCTCGCTTTTAACAATTCTGCAAAGCGGACACCTATGGCAGTTTTTCAACTGAGATGTTCAAGTAACGGTGGTGTAACCCGTGCCAAAAATGAAATGGAGCATAGAGACCCACTTTATTCGGCTGGCGGATGGAGATTCTGCACACCGACGAGCTGAAGCACTAGCGAAGTCAGTGCGGACGACTGGTGCGCACTTGCTGCTGCTTGTCCCTCTACAGCCTGCAGGAAAAGGGGAGGGCATTATGCACAAAATGCAAACTGTTACGCAACACATTAGTAAAGTTAAAAGCACGCCAGAGGTTTTCAGACGCGTTGCAAGCAATACTATAGGAAACTTTTGCCAAACAACTTTTCACCTTGGTAAGCCCTGTGCAGTCATGTTGCAGAGCAGTTTTCACCATTCACCTTATTAGATTACTCGTAGACAACGAGTTACTGGCATTTTAGGTGCTCCTAAAGCACAGAAGAAAAGAGAATGGCTGTGTTAACGAAAGAAGTCGAGAAGTCTGATCAAAGGCATATGTGGGGCGAGTAAATCCACCCTTACTCTGTTCTCTTTCCCCTTTGGAGCTGCCTTGGTGGCGTCCTTGCCTGCGCTTGCGAATGATGCATTTTAGTTACACTGACGGCAGAGTTGCCGCGTGACAAGTCCTTCAGTAACGAGGCCAGTTTCCTATAATTACACGAACACACGCTGGTGGCGGAATATTATTTATTTGTTTCTTTAGTTACTTAGAATTACCCTCAAGGCCCCAAAGGGCATTACAGAGGGGAGTGCATGGTTAGCACAGTTCTGATTTTAGCGTTATCGGTGATGGTGACAATATCATCTGGAAGGCCATTCCAGTCTACAATAGCTTCTGGTAGAAGGGAATGTTGAAATGGTCTTGGGAAGGGTAATCTTGCACGAATGATCGAGTCTTGCAGAGATATAGCTGGGCTGGCTGAGGAGAGACTGTCGTAATGGTTCCGAATAGTACATTTTATGGAAAGGCAAAGACGGGAAATTCTGCGACGAACGGAAAGATCAGGAAGAGCTAATTGACATTTCATTGCAGTGACACAAGAAAGGCGAGACTAATTAGAAAAAATAAATCGAGCAGCACGATTCTGGACAGATTCGATTTGCGTTAGTTAAAAAAAGACTGATGTGGGTGCCAGATAGCTGAAGCATACTCTAGTTTAGGGCGAACAAGCATGGCGTAAAGGAGACGTTTAAGGATAGAAAAGGCAGAGTTGAAATTGCGACAAACAAAACCGAGTGAGCGGTTTGAGGATGATATTGTCTCGTCGACATGAACATTCCTGGATATATTAGTGGTTAAACGAACGCCTAGATATTTTTACTGTGTAGCAGTCAGAATGGTAGTGCCATTGAATGTTAACGAGTTTAAGGGCTGGAAGCAAGAATGTGTAAAGCAAAGGTGTGTGCATTTGCTAATGTTGAGACACATCTGCCATGTGTGACACACTGCTTCAAGAGCTTTTTTATATAACTTGCGATTCAAATAAAATGAAATTTACATGGCTTATTTGGCATTACAATCGGACTACAAATATGTACTTTGTTTTGAGGTAACCTAATTAGATTTATTAATATTAAAAATTTAATTTGCAATGATTATGGAAAGGATTAACGCAATTTAAAATACTGAGCTCAGAAAATAAACATAGATCAGTGAACTGAGAGGTATGTGCAATCCAATAAGGTATAAATGAAAGCTCTAGGATGATTTATAAATTACTTATGACACTTTTGAACCTTCCAGTTTCAAAATCATTTTTTGCCGGATGCCTAAAAGGCACCCAGAAAAAGCCTGACAGCCTATTTAATATATTTGTAGCCCTCATTCAATATGTCGAAAATCCTTCAGGACAAGATGATAAGTGCTTGCCAAACTTCAAAAAACACATTTTTAAAAATGTGTTTTCTTAGTAAAATTTTGCTTCAAAGAGCAGTGTCTCCCCTTAAATGCCGTTCTGGAGTGCAACATGGTCATATGGGTTTTTTATTAGTCTATAAACAGCACAGGTCATCAGTGAAAAGATGAACAGAGAATGAGATGTGAAGAGGGAGATCATTAATGTAGATTAAAAAGAGCAAAGGCCCAAGCACAATTTCCTGTGGAACACCGGAAGAAACGGGAGAGAAAGAGGAGGATGTGCTGTTAGTGAAAACGAATTGAGAGCGATGAATAAGGAATGATTCAATCCACTTAGGAACATGAGGATCTAGTTTTAGGAAAGAAAGTTTAAGAAGAATGCGATTGCCCGGGACTTTAGCAAAAACTTTGGCGAAATTAAGCAAAACAGCGTCAGTAGGAAAGCCGGTGTCAAGATTTTTAAACAAATCGTTAGTTAGAATAAGTAGTTGGGTCCCAATAGAAAGGCGTTTCCAGAGGCCATGCTGCACATTGGTGAAGAAATTGCAGGAATCCAGGAAGTTAATCAGGTGCCTGTAAATGACATGCTCGAGGATCTTGTAGAGGCAGGTGAGTGATATTGGCCTACTTACTAATTTTCCGGTCAGAGGGCAACACCCCTGTGTCCACGGACTGCTCAAATATCTTTGAGGTAAAGACCGGATGAAAATTTAGTGTTAGTGAGAGCCTTCGTAATGATTTCCTCTATGCCACATGATGGAGATATTTTGAGGGTTTCTATACCGCTGAAAACACCCTGAATGTTTATAACAATTGAATCCATTGGAAAATCATTCTCTATAACAGGAGAAATTCCAGTAATGGGTGTAGAAATAGTGAAAGCATCAGAAAACGCACTATTTAAATATTCACACATTCACTATTCAATATGTTATTACAAGAGCTATTCACTAGATTAATTTCAGAGTACAAATCTCCAAAATTTGCGAGGGTTGTTTATTAACATATTAGGTAGAGTTTGCAGAAAGAATGTCTGCTTAGAGTTATCAGAAAGAATGTGTGCTAACACCCCTTTAAAATAGTTTTTTATTCGGAAGAGCAAGTGGCAAGCTTAGGCCAAGTATTTCCTTTTTTAGCGCTCCTGAAACATCTTTTCTTTTTATGACATAAACGATGAAGTGGATTATTGAACCACGGTTTAGACGTAGTAGTTCGGATTGTCGAGCACAGTATGGTAATTTTCAATAAGTTGAAAAAATTTTGTCTCAAGGCTTGCCAATTTTCATTAGCATTATGGCACTGGAAGGTTTCATTGAAATAAACAAAATAAAGCCTTCGCTGTTGGACACTTCAAATACACATACAAATCATATCTGGTTTCAGTCTGAGTCTAAGAACACTGCCTTCTAACTTAACTGGCTAAAGTAGGGTTGACCAAAATCAGCCTAACAACAAAAATTGGGAGTGCACTACACTACAGTTCTCTTAACACCTACGCTTGCAAGTCGACGGAGTGCATCGACTGGCTCTCTCTGCACGAGCAGCATTTCCTGCTGAACTGCCAGCTGCTGCTGCTGGGTGGCCAGCAGACCCTGCTGTGTGGCCAGCAGTTCTCGCTGGACAGCCAGCTGGTCCTGCTGAATGGACAGCAGATCCCGTGCCGTATCAACTCCAGACTTGGCCCTAGTTCTCCGGACTGGCATGGCACCTGGTGGATGCTGCACTGCTAATGACACGAAACACATTTGTAATAGCGTGCACACTGCAATAAACAATCGCAGCTTTCCCATCTTTTTCGTTCGTACCATTCGGTGGTAGGGGGCATGCCACTTGCGCAGGACGTTCCTCCTCTCCTCCCTTTGCCATGTCGCCTTCAGCCACAGACCCCTGCATAAAATAATTCAACTATGTAACACACCAGAACGCTATACAGCCCTTCTAGTTATACCTGTGTCTAATAGTGTGCACCCTAAACTCAATATTATTTTTTTTTTCGAATGTCACGGATTTATTGTCTCCGAGTGGGTCTAGAAATGTGCTGCAGCCCCGATATCCAAGCTTTCGTGGAAAACACCACGAGGCAATACATTCGCACCACATTGTTTTGTACATTAGTGTTCAATAAGGTAAAAAGCAACATGGTGTCTGCTCATGATCCAAGAGATTCACGGTATTTATCGAAGCTGCTGCTGCAGCCGTGAAGTCCCACAGCGGCGCGTCCACTGTCGGGGGCGCACGCCCGCCCCCTCGAGAGAAATCCGTCCCCACAAAAAATAATAATTTTTCTTGCTCCGCGTTTAGGGACGGCCCATCACTCGCGCCCCCACCGGCATACCTGCCAACCTGTGGACATTACAATTCGTAAAACTCACGCAATTGCGGGGGGGGGGGGGGGCTGTTTCGCAAGGTGGCAAGGCTTAATGTCAGCCTTGTCACCGTGCAAAACGCTTACATTACACGTGCACGTGCTACAGAATCCAAACTTCTCTCCTTTTTGGACGGCACAAAGCACTGGAATTCCGACGTGTAGGACTTCAAGAACACCTGAAAGTACCTCTTTTTAGGTTTGGAATTTGCCATTGCACCGCGAAGCCACCGCAACCAGGGGAATGCTATGATTACACGTGTAACAAACACAGACGCTGCACTTCTCGCCTCGAAACTGGCCGAAACAGAGGCCCAACCACGTCTGAACACGCCAAACCAACATGCGCCGCCAAACACACAAACAAAGGTTTTGGGCTTTGGATTGATTTTGGATATGTGGCCACCGGATAGACGGATAGTAAAAACCACAACGCTGCCGTGGACGGCACCTATCGCCCTCTTGTGGCAGTGTGAGGTACCGCCAGCAACGGTTTTACGAAAAAAATGTTTAAAAAAATAGAAATGAAAAAAGTATCTTTTTCTTAAACTTTGAAGCAAGATTCGTAAAATCGTAGAATTAGTCCCAATTCATACATTTTACAAAAAATTCGGAAGAGTTGGCAGGTTTGCACCGGTCTTCTGTTAGGGACACGAGACTCTCAGGTCGCAAGCCCACGTCTGGCATGCACGTGAGTTCCAGAAAGTTATTCTTTATGGCCGAAGGGCATTTAACTCTCAAACTATTACGCCCCATAGTGTATCTCGCTCCTCCTTGGTAACAAAGCTCTCTGTAGCAGTCCCCGAGAAAACTCGACTTTCACCGAGAAAGTCCAGGAGAAGCGCAAACTGTCGTGCCGAGACGTAGCGACCTAGCTTGCGCTTCTTAGCGTTTTCGGCCACAACTGTCTTCGCAACGTAAAGGGTTGTAGTTAACGTTGATTGTATTCATTATTTCAGCACATTAGGTACTAATTCATGCAACCAGATTTCAGGAATATATTTTTTAATTTTGTCTTATGCTATTCATTTTGCCAACTTAAAAATAATATTTTTACTGTTATACTCACCGCGGTGTTTTGAGATTCTCAGTGGGGACACTTTAAGGGAAAAATCCCGATAGAGTTTCAACTCAGTCGTGCGTGTTGACAGACGTCACAATGGAGTTGGTTCGCCGGTGGAGTTTGCCAAAGATGGAGATGAAGCTGCTCCCATTGGCAATCCCACGAAGGAGATTTACCACTGCTTCTTTCAGCATAGACAGACGGGCGATGAGTTCAGAGGGGATGCACCTACCGAAGAAGCTGCATCACAGAGGCTAGCCTCACCACGTCATGTCATGGCCCTGCTCTTTTCAGCATGTTATTTATTATATTGCGCCAGAAAGCCAGCGACATCAGTACCTGGGCTAGTTGGTGCCACTGATCTCTGTTGTAGTAAGCTGGATCACGGATCGAGGCTCGTCTTAATAGGGAGGAGTGGTGCCACCAGCGCCCATCACTTGACATTGGCTAATGCATAAAACTCTATGGGAAAGACAAAGAAAAGTGACGTTCCCCCTCTCGTAAACTGTTGTCGTCACTGAATCTTTTGGCTGCTGTCGGGAAGCCTGTCAAATAGCTAGTGCACAAACATTAAAACTGACAACCCTCGCGGTTGTTATATAGAAATGTTTTGTTGTCGAGAGTGACTCTACTGGGCAAAAAATGTACAGCAGCTCACTGAGAAGAGAGTTACCTAAAGGTACCTCGGAGTCGGTGGCGATTTCAATGAGTCGGGTTTAGCAGGTGACAAGCTTGAAGGCTCTGCTATGATTTCGCTTACTCCCGGAAAGACGCTGCCAATATGGAACTTTGTTGATGTTCAGCAACTTCTGGGCTCCCCCACGACGGCATTATTGACAGCAAGTTTATTTGTTCACTCCACCACGAGAGCAAGCTTGCCAGATCAGCCATGGGTGCTATAGCACAATATTTTAATGGGCATTCGAATGCTTGAGAAATCGCAATTCAACCTCCAAACACACAATAAAATTATTGCAGCACATCGTAAAATACATGCCTTCGAACACTGTGTAGAAGCTTTAATTTCCTTCTTTTGTGTGTTTCTCCCATAGACTTGCGTGTATACACGACTTGCATTGACGTCACATCAGCCACCATTGCTGCGGACCATGCTCCAGTGCCCGTACCTTCCGGAGCACACATTTAGGACCAATGAATTTCTTCCTCTCGGAGAACTTTGCGGAGAAGAACAGATTCGATGCTGCCAAAATGTATGTTCCAGAGGGTACGGGCACAGGAATGGTATGGAGCCATATGACGTCCCGTGCAAGGCACGTATTGCTTGGTGCCAAGCAATGGCTGCCGGTGGCGCCACCGACAGACTTCCGATTTGAATCCAGCCTACTACAATAGAGACCAGTGGTTGGTCCACGCTTCAAGAAAATTGGTCTATGCGTAGGTTTACTCAGCTGCACAAATTTCCGTAGAACTATGGCAGCAGTTGAAGAAACGTTTAGGGTTCCTGCCACATGACAATGTTGGATGCGCAAGAAGCAAATGCCCGTGGCTCAGAGTCCGGTAGAGGCAAATTTGCAGCCCTCCCCGTCGCAACCTCCGAGGCGGAGTTGCGGAATTGCACACAACTGTTTTTAACACTTCGACAAGTCGCGCGAGCGAGTTGCGTGAACTGCTCGTGCCACAGAGCACGTGAGCTCGGCAGCTGTCCAGAGTGATGAGCGAAGATTGTGGAATCAGGGCTGCCGAAGCGGCATGTACAGCCGTTACGATGAGACAGGAGCACGTCGCTTTGAAGAAAGCAGGCCAGCAGATAAGAAAGGACGTGGTTGCACACTGCACAGTTCTGACGTCACCCGTGATAGAGTTTTCGTGTCATCGACCTCCAGACCAAGCGGGCAGAGCTATACGTAAAAACCATGGTGTAATACGCCACGTCCTGTCCAGTTCTCCCTTCTTTTTCGTCTCTGTTGTTTTGGTGTTTTACATCATGATGCAAAACCAACTAGCCCAACCAGCCATCCTTATACACCTTTCCAAAAAACACCCAACCCCAGGGGCAACAAACTGTTTTCGAGCCCAGTCACTGAGTTTGAGGCTAGACTCTCACCAGCGTCCCTCCTAACCCTAACCGAGTGGACTGTGATGTCAATAGGCGCAGCCTGTGTAGGCGCAGTTTCAAACACTGCTGGCGGATAAATTATCGTCGTTTCCCGCTATATTTTGTGTTTCATGCTACATGTATTTTCCCGAGGACATTGAGAAAGCATTGTCCCACATTAAAAAAAAAAAAAAAAAAAAACTAAACTATTTTTGTTGGGTACGCGCGCGACAGAACGAGTTCGATTGGAATGTATAGTTCTAGTTGTTTGTGTTTATTTCTTACGATAAGCTTTGACGGCGCCGCAGGATTCACCGCATGTGAAACGACAAAGCGCTTTGCTGTCAAAAATAAATTGCAACAGAAGAGGGCCGAAAGGCATGCATTTTTCATGCTCACAAATAACGTGTTTACCGATGGACAGGACACGGACATACAATTGAGGAAGTGGTAACATTCAAACAATATATCGTACGTACCACACGATGCAGCGTTATCCGAAAAGAATTTATTTGAGAAAGATTTCAAATAACACAGTCACAGTCGACGACAGTCACATCTTGATGATCGGACGGAATCAGAGATGACTTCGTCTTGGGGCCCGTTTTGGGAAGAGCTACATTTTCTCATAACCGCACCAAAGCAAAGAAACAAACGCGACTGACCCGTTTCTCACCCCAACCCGGACAGCTATATTGGGAGACGACTGAGGATTCTACGCGGATTATTTCTGGGAGGGGGAAGAACAATGTTTGCAAAATCGCGTCGAGGGTCGTTCGACGTCCTTCACCTCCTTCCTTTCCCGTGAATGTCGAGCAGAAAAGCTTGAATGGCAGGTACTTACCAGCCTTATTTATCACAGTGGAAGATAACACAAAAAGGGTACGCAGCACACATAAAAAAAATTAAGTGGAAACTTTCAAGAGGGGCGAGAAAACATTGAATGCAAAACCGCAAAAACGTAGGTAGAGAACCACGCCGAGCGGGTCTTCACAGTCCCAGAGGGTGGCAGAAAATTTCTAGCTGATAGAGGGCGCGAGAGTCGCACCAGCTGCATCAGCATCAGCAACATGGCAGTGGCCTAGGAGCGTTTTTTGGAAAGGTGTATACATAGAAAGAGTTTGGCCATTCATTGGAAAGTATAGGAAGCAAATGAAGAGGCGCCATTGGCCGAAAGCGGGCTGGGCGTGTCCCAGGGCGTCTTCACAGATTTGAATGTGGCCAGCCAGAAGCCGCAAATAATACCCTGGCAGTGGTCGCGAGAAACAAAATTAATAAGTGCGTCGGACTAACCCTTGGCGAATGAAAACATGATGCATGTGATTGTACTATCACGGTCATACAAAATCAATATCTAGGAGAACGGTCGACATGATCTGTATGCCAGGCGTCTGAGCCACGTC